CGATACCACGTGATACTTCGTCCTCTCTGTCTGTCGAATGATCGACGCATGCGCAGAGAGAACGAACATTACTCGTCTACCTTTCTCTCTCGCACACATCTTGGACACAGCTTTCGAGTTCCAACATTCCACCTCCATGTCTATATACTCAAAGTTTATTATGCATTTTATGTGCTCCCAACCTAAAGGCCGAGACACAGACTTTTACATAACGCTGCTTAACGCACAAGACATAAAGCATAAGAAAATCAACCAATCAGAGTATGAAATGAAAGATTCTGATTGGTTCAGTGATTCTCTTATGCTTTACGTCTTATACGTTATGCAGCGTTATGCAAAAGTCTGTGTCTCGGCCTTAAGGGCCTATCCAGACAAACTTGTATAGCTGCATAATCATATGTATAAAGAAAATTATCCAATCGCATTTTTATTACAAGAACGAACGTAAAATGCGATTGGATAATTTCATGTATATGATTATGCAGCTATGCAAATTTGTCGGGATGGGCCCTTTATGCAGCGTTATGCAAATGTCTGTGTTTCGGCTATACTTATCAGATAAAAGGTTGCAACACTTGTTTTGGGTTTCGGAACGCACTAATGCTTTGCAAATGCGAGCCAAACATAACCTAGAATATCCATAACATAATGGATATTCTAAGTTAGGCGTTTACTGAAACATTTAGGCCCGGCACATAAAATGGCTGCGTTCCGCAAAGCGCATGCACGTGATTTATCCTTTTATCTTTGTTTAACATTTAGTGAACAACAAGGATATTATGATACATCATGCGCATGAGGCGTTTTGCGGAATGCAATCAATGCATAATAAAGCATAAGCACAGCATAAGGGTGCGTTCCCACTGAGCGCGTCACGCGTCGCGTCGTCCGTCGCGTCATAATTAATCGACCAAAATATCTTATTTTATTGCATTATTTGCCGCGTGATTCCTTGCGCTACGCATCAATTAAATTACTCGATTCTAAAAATAAAATAATCTTTTTTGTATGAAATCCAGAATTGCGCGTCAAATTACGCAATAAAATGGGATGTTTTGATTGGTCAATTCGGATAACGCGATGCGTGACGCGCTCAGTGGGAACGCACCTTAAGGCAGTTAAACCAATGAGAATCTTATGTAAATCAGTATGGCGACTTTAGATTAAGCTTGCTGCTCATTAGTCCAACGGGCTTATGCTATGTTGGCTGCGTTCCTTTTGGACGCTCACGCGCTATAAGCGCTTATAAGCTTCGCTTATACCGTTCCCTTTGGCGTTATAAGCGCTCATGAAAGACTTCATGACGTCATCATTACGTTATGACTCGTGCTTACAATTGCTCATTTTATCGAAGTAGGGCAACGAAAGCGTAAGCGCTATAAGCGTATAAGCGTCCAAAGGGAACGGTGACCGTTGTGTTGTCGGAACGCACCTAACCAAAATTTGTATGGACAACTACATAATCTCTATGCGATTTAGATAAAAGTATTGCGCTATATAGTATATAATCTTGTGAAAAGGTTGAAGGCGCTATAATTCACCAACCGGTGGAGCAAAAGGGGAGGAAAAAATAGATAAAAGTATATCCAGATAAACTAATTGCAATAGCTGTATATAGCAATAGCTATAATCATAGATAAACAGAATATTATCCAATCTTCATTAAAACATATCTAATTCAACATTTGCTAACATAATTATGTAAAACATAATCATATCACTTTCAATTGCCATCTCGATCGGCCGCTCACAGTCACTCATAAATGCCAAAGGGAACGGCTTTGCTGACAGTCGTATGAGCGCTTAAATTTCAAAAGGAACGGCAGAAAATAGTGCTTATAAGCGTGAGCGCTTACAGCGCATGAGCGTCCAAAAGGAACGCACCCGTTATGGTATGCTTATGCTTTGTTATGCATTTCATGTGCTCTGGACCTAATGGTATAGAGCAACTAAACCAAGCATTCAGCTTAAAGTCGTCATACTGATTTACATAAGATTTTCATTGTTCTAACCGCCTTATGCTGTGCTTATAGTTTATTATACATTTCATGTGCTCCCGGCTTAATTGGAAAAGAGAACGCTTGTCTAGTAACACAACATGGCGGCTACTGAAAATCAGCGAATGGGAACACACCTTATACATCAATCGTGGTTCGCATTTGCAAAATATTAATACGTTTCAAAATCCATCAAAATGAAAGTGTTGCAACCATTCTGATCACGATCATACTTATCTAGAAAACATTATAGTCTAAAAATACATCATAAAATGTTGTTAGCTAATAACTATTACCTAATGTTATTTAAATTTTAACACGCTAACTCCCATAAGAATGTCAGCCTTTAATAGTATCTCATCGATGATAAGTCTTTATTTTATTAGGGCGAATTCACACCTTGACAGAAAAGCGGAAAACAAAAAAGCAGAAGCCAATCAAAACTCGCAATAGTAGCAAGAAAAGCAGAAAGCAAAAACTATCGACTACCAACGCGAGTTTTGGTTGGTTTCTGCTTTTCTGTTTTTCGTTTTTCTGTCGAGGTGTGAATTAGCTCTTAGGGTGTAGGAAAAATTTCTGCGCATTTTTGATAAAGTTTATTTTTTTAATAAAATAAATGGTACAATGCATGATAGTCAAAATATTTGCCATCGTCTTCTACCATCTTTGCCTACCTTTCAGGCAGTATACGAATGCCACGTTGAAAGAATTCGTTATCTTTTGACTGGGTGGTACAGTCGTGGACACATCGGTTGCAACACTTTTTTTTATAGGTTTCTAATATATATTTAATATACATAATATATACTTTATAGATAACTAATATTTTGTAAATTTGAACCACGATGTACTATCTTTAATCTAGAGACAATATAACACCTATCGTAGTCCGCATTTGCAAAATATTAGTGCGTTTTGAAACCTATAAAAAAGAAGGTGTGTCCATGACTGTACCTGATTAACCACGTTCTGATTGACCACCAGCCATTCACAGCGCTTGAACAATGAAAAATCTTTAGGCACCGGCCGCTGTGAGTGGCTGTGGTCAAACGGGACGCTTTTTTTTTACGCAATCCAATCATCCACCCATTTTCGCACATTGTTGGCA